AATTTTAGCTGGCTGCTGTTGGGAATTGAAGACATTTACACATCCTGACAAATTGCCTGTTGTAAAAGTATTTACTGGTTTTGTACTCCCTTTATTCTTGGCCAGCTCTCAAACACGTGACCTCTCCTCGCAGACAGAAATATTTACCGGCAGCAAATTTATGTGACACAGGTTTATGTGGCGTACCTGAGCTTTAGCCCGAGATGTGTCATAATGGTGTCAAGCTGAGGGTAGTGGTCCATTGTTAACGTTTTAATAGAAAAGCGGTCTTGAGAAGCCTATAATTGTTTTATGTTGGTTGCATTCTCTCTGTTCACCAGCTATTAGTACCTCTGAAAGGACTAGTTTTTGGACACAACAGGCTGCGTGGAAATGTATGAATGAATAAAGCAAATACCTTTTCAAGAAATATCCATACACCTTCAAAGAAGCAGTTAAAAAATATATATTTTATAGAGTATTAATTTCAGGCAAACAAAAGTACTGTCTATATATACAATATGTGTGTTTATATATGTATATATATATAAATTGAACTCCTATAAAAAATTTTACGAGTGAAATTAAAGAAAAATAATAGTTTCCAAGATGCCATCATGTCTTATTTTTAGGAAAATGTGGCAGGTGTTTGTTGTCTGATAAATAATAGTAGGAGTGCATTAAAAATACATTTTAATTTATTTATTTTCTGGATATTTATTTTTTAACAACAGTGACCTATTAGGACAGAGATGAACACACACATATACTGTATATGTGCAAACAAAACTGCCTTTGTAATTCTGGCAGAATAAAACTGATATCTTGAGACACTATAAATAATACACTGACTATTATTTAACCTTCTCCATGCATGTATAATGTATTGGTTTGTTAAATCAAAGCAAATTGTGGATCACATCTAATGACATTTAATTTGAAGTTCATTAATGTTGTCCTCAGATAGACGTGAAGTGATTACCTTGGTGTAAACTCGGTCTCCTCTGTTTATTTTGTGGCCCATCCTCAAATACAGAGCTCCACAACTTTGCTGCCACTGGGTGGCACTATGAGACTGCTGATGAGACGGTGCAGCAGTGGCGCATGTATGGTGTGGGTGAAGGTGTGAGAAAGGAGGCCCACACTTACCTCACACTCAGGGACAGCTATAATTTACTAATAGTTAATGTGTCCAATTGCCCAAGTTGCCTACAGAATTTAAGGCATCCATCACTGTCGTCGGTGGTGACACCCTGTCGTTCTACTTCATGTGGTGGGCCGGCCAGGCTGGGCCGGTAACAGATGAGGCTTCTCTCTCCTCCAGACGCCCACAGTCACACAGAGACGACCGCCATACGTGCTTGATAGTCTGCATAACACACACACCCCGTACACGAATACACTTTAGCAGTTTTAGAGGGCGAACCAAACTTCTATGCACCATATAAGACGATGTTTGTTTGAAAAAAAAGTCCTTTTATCATAAAAAGCAGGCATAATTACCCGTAAAGTGTCCAAATTGTTGGAGCTACAAGCCTCACTTTTTGAAATGCTATTAAAAATGAATCTCTGTCAACTTTGCTCCCATTGCTTTGAGTTTTTGACCTTTCAGCTGCACCCATGAGCTTAGCCAGGGGCACCACGTTGCTTGCAGGTTTGGCCTCCGCCCTGAAAAACACCCCGTGCAGCTGTGTTTCTCTAGACCCAGGGCCAAGAGTTGGAGGGTACAAAGAGGTGTTTGCTAATACCTTGTTACGGCTGTTTCAGTTGCCGTGTCTCAGAGAGGTCAGTGTCACTACTGCTTTTCGTCGGAGGCCCTTGATCTGCTGGATGCTGGAATAAATCCGAGGACTCATGTGTTGCCTGTGTGTGACCTTCTCGGATTCTGCTACAGGCTGCATTGCTTTGAGTCCTGTAGACTATGGTAGATGTCAGATGTATTATCAGAAACATATATATTTGTGCGCCCTCTTTGCCACAGAGGAAAAATGGTTTATACATGGATATGTTTATGTATGTATTTATTTAAGCAACTATTTGCAGTTTTGACAGATGTTTAGCAGAAATCTGTTTTTCCAGGTTTCAACATGAGCTTCATCCTCCCATTTCTTTTTCCCATCACTTCCTATGAGTTATGAACCTTGGCCAGCGCCTGGTGTCAGGTGTTAAACAGCATATGAGAGGAAGAAAGGGTTAGAAAGCTTTCTAACCCTTTCTTCCTCTCTGACATCTCTCTTAACATAAAACAGAGCTGCCTCTCTCTCACTGTAATTGTAACCACCATGTTGCTTCTGCACAGTTTTCTAATATTTCCTCCTGCACGCTGTTGATAAGCAGTGCTGCAGTTTCTTAACCTCAGCCTCACTCCTTGGCTGTGAACACAGTTTTATTCCTGAGCCTGTAACAACCTTAGGTATTATTACACTGCCAAAGAAAAATACTTGAGAATTAATACAGAGCAGATTAATTTAGCCATTTTCTGTAAATATATCATCATAAAAAAGACTGCTTTAAGCTTTAACATAGTTTAACAAAACATAGATTTGTCCCAAAAGTTCTAAAGGGGCAAAGAGAGGGGTAGATGTGAGGAGATGGAGGAGAATGGAGACCAGCACTATCAACTATGACAGTAGATATAAAAGCACACATGAGCCCTGCTGTAGTTGGTTTGTCTTAAGGATGAGGTTTACCAAAACTGGAAACTGAAAAAAATCATTCAGACTGTCTTGCATCTGTGCTTAAAATATATGCACTCCTGAAACCATTCTTTTTTTCCCCTCTGTTATGCAGCCATCTGTGCTACAGGAAGCTACACATTTACCATTGGATTTTATTGTCTTTTTAAATGTTTGTCAAAGTGAACAGCACTCTGAATAATTCTAGGAAAGTATTGGCCATCCACCCCCTGCATGACAACTCCAATCTGCTGCTGTGTAGCCAGCATCGAGGGGAGCTTTGGTAATAATTTTCTGTTTAGCTGTGTTGATGTTTTTCTACAGTTTCCCAGTTGTGAAAGGAAAATAACCCATGTCTTTCCCTCTCACCCTCTCTCTCTCTCACACCTGCCCTGCTCTTTCTCTGTTTCAGTCCATTTTGCTCTCCCCCCTTGATCTCTGCTAATTTGGTTGAGCAGGTTGAATGTTTAGTTTCACACTCAGATGCTTTTTAAGGTTAATTGTGGGACAGGAGTGTTTACTTTGCCATAATACGGGGCTTAACACTCTTCTCAGACACGCATGGAGAGCTTAAAATATGAAGCTGACCACTGTGCTCACCCCACCTCTACCTGCTCTCGCGACCCCCGCCTCCACCCTCATTGCTGCTGCTGGAAAAAAAAAGACAAACCTAATGCAGAACAAAAGATACCACAAAGTCTTGCCAATTAGCAGCTAATGAGACAAGCTCGTGAGGATATCCAAATCCTCAACGTGTTAACATTTACACCTTCCCTCCCCTTTTCTTCCCATCTCTTGGGTCTTGAGTCCTTCAACCTGCAGGTCCCCCATCTGCCCTTGCATTGAGCCTCTTATAGCACAGTGAGGGCACCTCTGAGGCCCTCTGTGTGATTATTCACACATGGCTGTGTGTCTGTGTGGCTGTGTGGCTGAGCTGCGGCAAAAAAGGGGAGGAAGAAAGAAATACCTTACGTATGGCTAATCTATGATGTTCCGGTGACAAAAGGCTCTTGACTTCCATGTTGTGTGATATCTTCATATATACATATACTGTCCAGTGAGACATTTTTTTGGTTAAATCTGATAAGTGGGGAAAATAATATGCCATGAGAAAAAACAGTCGTCCCCATTTCCTCTGACATGCCTTTTATCTAAAATGTCTGTGTTGGAAGTGAAAATAAAATCTGCTTTTGTAATACAGATCTCTTGGACAGCCTTGAATGATTCTCTGTGACTCTTTTCCGGCCTCATTTTCCCTCTAGTGTGGATATAGGGAGTGTGTCTGGAATCAGTGGGGGAAAAAAATTCAAATGTAAGTTGGCCTGGCAGTGTTACAGTAAACAGCTAGAAAAAGC